GGAGGAAAAATGGAGAGGAACACACTGCAAGATGCTTGAAGTCCAGTGTGAAGTTTCCACAGTCTGTGTTGATTTGGGGAGCCATGTCATCTGCTGGTGTTAGTCTACTGTGCTTCATTAAGTCCAGGGTCAACGCAGCCGTCTGCTAGGAGATTTTGGAGCATTTCATGCTTCCTTCTGCAGACGAGCTTTATGGGGATGCTGACTTCATTTTCCAGCAGGACTTGGCACCTGCCCACACTGCCAAAAGCACCAAAACCTTGTTCAATGACCGCAGGATTACTGTGTTTGATTGGCCAGCAAACTCGCCTGACCTGAACCCCATAGAGAATCTATGGGGCATTGCCAAGAGAAAGATGAGAGACATGAGATCGAACAATGCAGAAGAGCTGAAGGCCTCTATTGAAGCATCCTGGTCTTCCATAACACCTCAGCAGTGCCACAGGCTGATAGCTTCCATGCCACGCCGCATTGAGGCAGTAATTGCTGCAAAAGGGGCCCAAACCAAGTACTGAGTACATATGCATGCTTATACTTTTCAGAGGTCCAATATTGTTCTATGTACAATCCTTGTTTTATTGATTGCATGTAATATTCAAATTTTCTGAGATCGTGGATTTGGGGTTGTTTTCATGAGCTGTAAGCCATAATCATCACAATTATGACAAATCACGGCTTGAACTATCTTGCTTTGCATGTAATGAGTCTATCTCATATATTAGTTTCACCTTTTAAGTTGCATTACTGAAATAAATGAACTTTTGCACGATATTCAAATTTTTCGCGTTTCACCTGTATGTGTGTATGTATATATATATATATATATATTTATATATATATATATATACACAGTGCTCAGCATAAATGAGTACACCCCTTTTGAAAAGTAAGATTTCAATCATATCTCAGTGATGACAAGAACAATTTCCAAAATTCGGACAAAACTGAGTTTTATAGAACATTTGTTTAGCTCATTACATGAAAGTAAGATTAATATAACTTAGATTACAAAATCTTCAGTTTTGCTCAAATTAGTTTAATGCAAAAAAAATACATCCCACAACAAAAACTACTACATTTAGTATTTTGTATGATCTCCATGATTTGTAAAGACAGCACCAAGTCTTCTAGTCATGGAATGAACAAGTTGGCGACATATTGCAACATCTATCTTTTCCCATTCTTCAAGAATGACCTCTTTTAGAGCCCGGATGCTGGATGGAGAGTGATGCTCAACATGTCTCTTCAGAATTCCCTATAGGTATTCGATTGGGTTCAGATCAGGAGAAATACTTGGCCACTGAATCACTTTCAGAAATGCAACAGTGGCCTTAGATATGTGTTTGGATCATTGTTATGTTGGAAAAAGTTTCAATATAGAGCAGTACATCTGTGAATTCATGATACCGTCAATGAAATGCAGTTCCCTGACACCAGCAACACTCATGCAGCCCCACAGGAAGACACTGCCACCACCATGTTTCACTGTAGGCACCGTGCATTTTTCTTTGTACTCCTCACCTTTGCGACACCATACAGTTTTGTAGCCATCCATTCCAAAAACATTTATCTTGGTTTCATCACTCCAGAGTACAGAGTCCCAGTAGTTGTCCTATTTTTCAGCATGGGCCCTGGCAAATTCTAGGTGGGCTTTTTTTGTGCATGGCCTTTTGGAGAGGCTTCCTTCGTGGACAACACCCATGCATGACATTCCTCTGCAGTGTATGCCATATTGTGTCACAGGAAACAATCACCCTAGTTTGGCTTTCTACATCTTTAGCTAACTGCAGTGAACTTGTATGACAATTTTCTTCACCCCTTCTCATCAGAAGACACTCCTGTCGAGGTGTTAACTTCCGTGGACGGCCTGGATGTCTCTGTGAGATGGTTGCAGTTCCATCTCTGTTTCATTTTTGCTACAGTATTCTGACAGAGAAGTAAAGCTTTGCTGACTTCTTGTAGCCTTCACCTTTCTTGTGTAAAGAAATTATTTTCTTTCTTAGGCCCTGTGACATTTCTCTTCCATGTGGTGCCATTGCTGACAACATTAAATGGGAAAGGGTTTTCTTTGTTAAGTAATTCCCTTTTATAATCAACTGTCCGCTGGACACCTCTTTAATGAATAATTAGACTCACCTGTAGTTGAATTATTGTTAATTAGGATTTTGTTGTCTAAAATGTAGCTTTGCTCCTAAGAATTTCATTGGGATGTACTCATTTTTGCAACATGGTCTAGAATGAATTTGTTAGGAAAAATACTTTTTTGTGTGTGCAAATTAACAAATCTTGTTTGCGATCAATGGCCTGCATTTGTGGCAGTATTTTGTAGTATAGTGTCCCATAGAAAATGTTGATTTGGAAAGGAAAGTAAAGGTTTTCTGACAAATCTGTTGGGGTGTATTCATTTATGCTGAGCACTGTATACACACACACTTTGCTAAGGACATTTTACCAATTGTTATACGCAATACAATATTGCCATTGATTATATTTTAAAGGCATGATGTATTATCCATCACTATAGTGAGGGCAAAATAAAAATGCTCCGGAGTAATGTAGGTGGAATTTCTCACGTGAAATGGAACCAAAATATCTCATAAATAATTGCCTATAAAACTTATTTTCAGGAGTCATTGAGGTAGAGATTACATGTATTGAAATTTAATGAACTGAATAACAGGGATAAACTATAATTGGTTTTACTATATAAATACATGAAAGTATATTGCCTAAGGCTGATGTCACCTGCACTTATTGAATTTTGATGTGCTCCAGACAGAAAACTACAGGGATCTATAGTTGCTGTAGTTACATATAGTAATGATTAAAATGTAATTCCTAAAATAAAAAGTTACAAAGCTGTTTTAGTTTCAGTGCCTAAAGATCGGTACTGAAATTATTTGGTGAGTAGTAACTGCGAATTTGGCGCAAATGGTTCTGGTAGAAGATGAAGTGACTATGCAGAAGAAGGCTCTTTCAATATTAGGATTTACCTAGGGGTTAGGTAGGGCTTAGGAAAAGAAATGTATAGTAGACACGTGTGTTTCGTTTTGTTACGAATTGATTCTTGGATGAAATTTCCATTCTCGGAGATTCGGATGTATATGAATCTGGTAATGGACATGGTAACGAATGTAAAGGAACCAGAAAAAAGTTATAAAGAAATTAATGAATGCATTCATTGTATTATTTTCATTTGGATGACGTCACATGATGCCACAGTAGTTCGGGCCCATGGGGAAATAAATTCAATTTTTGAATTTGTTCGATAATTCTGACTCGAGTAAATTCGTGATATAAATTGAATTTGTAATTGTCAGAGTCAGTCAGTTCAGTTCCACAGTCTAATGCATTTCTTAGGCTTGAAAAATTTGGAGTCGCCGAATTTTGCATTATTTATTCAGTTGCGTCCGAAAATTTTGAATCCTGCTGAATAGTTTTAATCAGGGGCGGACTGACCATTTGGAAACTCGGGCACTGCCCGAGGGCACGGGGTAAGTAGGGGGCCCCATGAGATGCCCCTGGTACCTTTTTCATAGGCTTTTTTGAGTTTGGGCAAGGACACAGGGGCCCCATTATCCCCTATTGCCCGGGGGGCCTCATGAGTTGTCAGTCCACCCCTGGTTTTCATATACGAATAACTAATCCAGCTGAAATATCAAAACCGAAAATTAATACATGGCAATCTTTCAAAAAACCTGCAAAATGTTTGGAATCCACCTGAACCAGCAAATATACAAAAACAAATGCCGAAGATATGAAACTAATTCCAAAAACTGATCAGTTGAACAAACAATAATATGACCAAACAAAATTCTTCAATGAACGAATGCATCCCATATGAAATGAAAATTTCCAGTGTGCGCAGGTCTAATGTATAATGGTTTTGTACATATTTATTTATCATCAGGAATACAAAATACAATGTAAAGCATACATACAGTATATTACTAGTCAACTAGAATGATTGTATCTAGTATTCAGGCTATCTAAGGTGCAGCAGTCCATTCATACATTTGTTTTGGCCAAGCGCAGAGATTAATCTATAACAGGGGTCTCCAAACTTTCTAAACAAATGGTCAGTTTATCATTCTTCAGAATTTAGAGGGGCCAGACTGTAGCTAGCAGAAGTAGAAAATGCCCCAGTGTCGGTAACAATGTCTTATTATTAGTGTCAGTGAGATGAATAGTACCCAAACATTGGTATCCATGAGAGGAATAGTGCCCCATCATTGGTGTCAGTGGGAGAAACAGTGCCCCATCATTGGTGTCAGTGGGAGAAACAATGCCCCATCTTTGATGTCAGTGAGAGGAACAGTGCCCCATCATTGATGTCAGTGGAAGGAATAGTGTCTCACTGTTTGTAAGTAGCAGTAGTAGGTGTAAGTAGGAGGAAATATGCCCCATTGTTAATATCAGTGGGAGGAATAGTGCCCCAAGGGCCGGATAAAGGGAAGCAAAGGGCTGCATATGGCCCCTGAGCCACAGTTTGGAGACCACTGATCTATATATAATGTAAATATAAACTATCCTATATGAATATTATAAATGTGCAGGTTGAGCTTTAGGAGCTTAAGCCAGCCACATATCAAATCTTGGTCAGTTTAGCATGGACTGGCCTGAGATTTGATCCTCCTATGGGCAGGCTGGTTGTACCCAAGTCAATCCATCAATGGTCTTGGGTACAACCCGTGTTGTGAATTTTTTACCTGCAATTATCACTAAACAGGGGGGAGGAAAGAAAAGTATGATGTGAAAATCACATTGTAAACAAGCTGTAGTGGCCCCAAACCATCACTAGATGTCAACATACTACAGAAAACTGATAACCTCATTCAGTTCAATACAGTACTTAAAAATATATGAAAAAAAGGGCAGGTCAGCAGCACATTTGATTCATTTTTCACTTCTTCCCCTTGCTCTCTCAATCAGAGTGTGACTTATTAGGGGAATAAGTGTGGCTTACCAATCATTAGATGTGGTGGCTGCATTCATTATCCTTTTTTAGGCTTTTTCCCTCTGTTTTCACCTGGTGATCTGGCCAGTAACACACCTCCTGTATTAGAGTGCCCCCACTCTGGATGAAGGAGACTAGGAGGCACCTGTGGACAGCAGCACTGCAGAGCTGACAGGGTACGCTGAAGACATTGTTGTGAGCCCCGCCCTCAGTGAGGATGCTGAGCCCGGCTGGCCAGGTATGTCCCCCCCCCCCATAGACTGCCTGTGAACTGCTATACCAAACTGGATATATGTGCATTGCTGAAAGGTCTCTGGTCATCTCCTGTACTATGTCCGCAGTCTCTGGTCATCCCTTGTACTATGTCCGCAGTCTCTGGTCATCTCCTGTACTATGTCCACAGACTCTGGTCATTTTCTGTACTATGTCCGCAGTCTCTGGTCATCCCCTGTACTATGTCTGCAGTCTCTGGTCATCCCCTGTACTATGTCCGCAGTCTCTGGTCATCTCCTGTAATGTGTCCGCAGTCTCTGGTCATCTCCTGTACTGTGTCCGCTGTCTCTGGTCATCCCCTGTACTATGTCCGCAGTCTCTGGTCATCCCCCTGTACTATGTCTGCAGTCTCTGGTCATCTCCTGTACTATGTCTGCAGTCTCTGGTCATCCCCTGTACTATGTCTGCAGTCTCCGGTCATCTCCTGTACTATGTCTGCAGTCTCTGGCCAACTCCTTTACTATGTCTGCAGTCTCCGGTCATCTCCTGTACTATGTCTGCAGTCTCTGGTCATCCCCTGTACTATGTCTGCAGTCTCTGGTCATCTCCTGTACTATGTCTGCAGTCTCTGGTCATCTCCTGTACTGTGTCCGCAGTCGCCGGTCATTTTCTGTACTGTGTCCGCAGTCTCTGGTCATCTCCTGTACTGTGTCCACATCTCTGTCATCTCCTGTACTGTGTCTGCAGTCTCTGGTCATCCCCTGTACTGTGTCTGCAGTCTCTGGTCATTTCCTGTACTGTGTCCGCAGTCTCTGGTCATCTCCTGTACTGTGTCCACAGTCTCTGGTCATCTCCTGTACTGTGTCTGCAGTCTCTGGTCATCCCCTGTACTGTGTCTGCAGTCTCTGGTCATCTCCTGTACTGTGTCCGCAGTCTCTGGTCATCCCCTGTACTGTGTCCCGCAGTCTCTGGTCATCTCCTGTACTATGTCCACAGTCTCTGGTCATTTCCTGTACTATATCTGCAGTCCATTGGTTTAGAATATTTTTTTTCTTGTTTTTTTCCTCTAAAACCTAGCTGCGTCTTATGGTCAGGTGCGTCTTATGGAGCGAAAAATACAGTAAGCTGCAAAATAATAAGTGTTTGCTTTGGGTTTAGTACTGCATTAAAGTGGTAGTAAACTGATTTTCTGAAAAATTGCTGACAGACAGGATATTTATAACAGAAGAGACCCTTTTGGTCTCTTCTGTCATAATAGCTTCCTCCTGCCTGTCAGCTGTCAAGTACACTGAGCTGCACATGCATTTACTGTCCCTGATCTGTGCTGTGGTGATGTGACTCCTGAGCACATGCGCAGGAGTGACATCATCGTTGCCTGGCCATTCAAACAGGCGAAGGCACGAAACTCGGTAGGAAGGCTGGTCAAAGATGGAAGCTCAGATCAATTACACCCCAGCGCTGATGGGTTTCTTTGACAGGTAAGTCTGCCATAATGTAATAATATGTGGTGCATACTGGCACATTATGGTGTAACTGACCCGAGGGCCCAAAAAAATAAAAATTTAGGCAGACCTAACTACCGCTTAATGAGTAGATAATTGCATGTGTTTTCTTTTTACAGTATGTGTCTATAGTTCAGGTCTTAAGGAATTATGTATTTCAGATTTCTCAAACAGAACAATAGCACTCGCTTCATCAGAAAATAGTAATGGGACCATGAAATTTACAATGCAAGCTGCTATTAAAAAAAAATTATGTACTTGTCGGATTCCTGAATATGTTTGCAAAATGTTCCATATGTGAACACAATTGTTGTACAATATATTGACATTTGGATTTGAGTGTGGCCTATAATGCCTAGCAGCAAGACATTCCATGCTGTGGAGTTTGAACACATTGTTAATTTGCTGAATGGAAGTTAGTTGAGGATATGAATATACACTATATTGCCAAAAGTATTGGGCCTCCTGCCTTTACACGCACATGAACTTTAATGGCATCCCAGTCTTAGTCCATAGGGTTCAATATTGAGTTGGCCCACCCTTTGCAGCTATAACAGCTTCAACTCTTCTGGGAAGGCTGTCCACAGGGTTTAGGAGTGTGTCTATGGGAAGGTTTGACCATTCTTCCAGAAGCGCATTTGTGAGGTCAGGCACTGATGTTGGATGATGTTCTATCGGGTCGAGGTCAGGACTCTGTGCAGGATAGTAAAGTTCCTCCTTGCTTTGTGCACTGGTGCGCAGTCATCTTGGAACAGGAAGGGGCCATCTCCAAACTGTTCCCACAAACTTGGGAGCATGAAATTGTCCAAAATGTCTTGGTATGCTGATGCCTTAAGAGTTCCCTTCACTGTAACTAAAGGGCCAAGCCCAACCCCTGAAAAACAACCCCACACCATAATCCCCCCTCCACCAAACATTACACTTGACACAATGCAGTCAGGCAAGTACCTTTCTCCTGGCAACCATCAAACCCAGACACGTCCATCGGATTGCCAGACAGAGAAGCGTGATTGGTCACTCCAGAGAACATGTCTCCACTGCTCTAGAGTCTAGTGGTGGCATGCTTTACACCACTGCATACGGCGCTTTGCATTGCACTTGGTGATGTAAGGCTTGGATTCAGCTGCTCGGCCATGGAAACCTATTTCATGAAGCTCTCTTTGCATTATTATTGTGCCAATCTGAAGGCCACATGAAGTTTGGAGGTCTTTAGCTATTGACTCTGCAGATAGTTGGTGACTTCTGTACACTGTGCGTTTCAGCACGCGCTGTCCCTGCTCTGTCATTTTACGTGGCCTACCATTTTGTGCCTGAGTTGCTGTTGTTCCCAGTTGCTTCCACTTTGTTATACGACTAACAGTTGACCGTGGAATATTTAGTAGCCAGGAAATTTCACAGATGGATTTATTGCACAGGTGGCAACCTATCACGGTACCACACTTGAATTCACTGAGCTCCTGAGAGCGACCCATTCTTTCTCAAATGTTTGTAGAAGCAGTCTGCATGCCTAAGAGCTTGATTTTATACACCTGTGGCCATAGAGGTGATTGGAACACCTGAATCCAATGATTTGGCGGGGAGTCCCAATAGTTTTGGCAATATAGTGTACTTTCACACAGGACCATACATTTAATATGATAATTTTTATCAGTATAATTATTTTTTGTTATGTATTTGATTAATGGCTTACATTCTTCTTAAAGTAGAATTATAATTTTTTTAATGTATGTAAATTTATCTGATCTTTTAGAGATGGTTCACACCTGAATTGCACAGAAATGTAGTCCGCGTTCCTGTGTGATTCTTGTGTGACTCAGTGCAGTATGATTTTAAGTCTATTCATTTGAATGAGCTGAAATCACACTGGATCGCACCAAAACTCTAGTGCATGCACTACTTTTAAAAAAAATGCACTGCCCTATATTTCACGGGACTGGGGTACCATGTGATCCAGTGCAGGCAAACACACTGGGGTTGATTTACTAAAACTGGAGAGTGCAAAATCTGCTGCAGCTGTGCATGGTAGCAAATCAGCTTCTAACTTCAGCTTGTTCAATTAAAGTGTTACTAAACCCACAACAGGAAAAATCAGTCTGAATATGCAATGAAGCATGCTTGTTATATTTACTGTGGAACCGAAGGGGATAATTCTCTACATTGTGTAAAAAGGCTGGTTGATCCTGCCTCCTCTGATACTCCCCTTCTTTTGCTGTCCCCAATCCATCTGCCATAGTAAGAGCAGCAGTGGCAAGTCTGTGCATGCTCTGCTTGGTGTCTATTGTTAGAGAGTTTTTTTTTTTGGACAAGTGCATGTCATTGGCACATGGTCAATCAGCATTGTCCAGACAGAGGGTCAGGGGTATGCAGCCTCATAGGACAGTCAGAGAAAAGAATGAAAACTCCTCCTACAAGATTAACTGGTGCTCGGCTGGACACTGATAGAAGTCACAAGGTTGCTATATACTGCTGATAAGAAAAGGTATTTAACAGTTTATATTTACTAAAATAATTGAATTTCTATGTTCTGTGTACTGTAGAAGACCAGATATAGTGAATACAGGGTCCTGGGTTTAGCAACACTTTAAGCTTTGACAATAAAACCTAGAAGCTGATTGGGTTCTATGCAGTGCTGCACCAGATTTTGCACTTTCCAGTTCTAATAAACTGAGGTGATGTTAGAAATATATTGACACCCGCAGCAGATTGTACACCCGGTGTGTTTTGAATGCTGTAAAGGAAACACACATGGAACGTGGGTATACCCCCACCGCATTTTGATGTGAATGAGCACTTCTATCATTTTTTTTTTTATTATTTACTTAAAATCTCTGTTTACAAATAAATATTGGATACCGGATGACACCATGGCACTGTATTTACTAATAAGAAAACTCAGCATTGCCTGTTTAAGCACTTCAGACCTGTACATCCCCTATAGAAGAGAGCAATTTGACATTTTTGCTATGGAGTTATTGAGTCTGCAACTTTGGCATTACTTAAGAAAACAAAGAAATACATATATTATTTATGACAAATAAGACTTTCTTTTGGTGAAATTATCGTACAAAAATTATTTTATTCTTAGGCAATCCACAGTCATAACATAACAAAAAAAACAAACTTTTATACATCGAGCAAAGTTAGTTTAACTACTTGAGCTCCAGAAGGTTCTACCCCCTTCCTGACCGGGCCATTTTTTGCTATTCAGCACTGCACTATTTCAACTGGTAATTGCACATTCATGCAACACTGTACCCAAACACAATTTATTTCCTTTTTTCACACAAATAGAGCTGTCTTTTGGTGGTATTTGATCACCACTGGGTTTTTTATTTTTTGCAATATAAATGAAAAAAGACTGGAAATTTTGAAAAAAACTTTACTTTCTACATTTTGTTATTAAAGTATCCAATAAACTCAAATTTAGTGATAACTTTAAGCCAAAATGTATTCTACTACATGTCTTTGGTAAAAAAAAAAAAACAAATAAGTTTATATTAATTGGTTTGTGTTAAAGTTATAGCGTCTACAAACTATGGTATACTGGAATTTACGAAGCTTTTTCTTTCTGACTGCCTATCACATTTCTTAAAGGTGCTAAAATGCCAGGGCAGTAAAAACATCCCCCACATGACCCCTTTTTGGAACGTAGACACCCTAAGGAATTTGCTGAGAGGCACGTTTGGCCCATGGAAGATTTTATTTTATGTCACAAGTTTTTTTAAAAAGGACAAAAAAAGTTTCTTTTTTTTTTTTTTTTTTTTTTTTTTTTACACAAAGTTGTCAATTAAATTATATATTGCTTATACATGCCATGGGTATATGTGGAATGACACCCCAAAATACATTTTGCTGCTTCTCCTAAGTATGGGTATTTCACATGAGTGAGACTTTTTGAGAGCCTTGCCACGTGCAGGATAGTACAAACAATCCCCCAAATTACCCCTTTTTGAAAGTAGACACCGCAATTTGATAAGAGGCATGGTGAGTATTTTGCAGATATCATTTTTTGAAAAATATACAAAAAAGAAAAGAAAAAATACATTTTCATTTTCTTTCTTAATTTTCCAAAAACATGTGGCAACAAATGAGATCTGTAAAATACTCACCATGCCTCTTAGCAAATACCTTGGGGTGTCTACTTTCCAAAAAGGGGTCATTTGGGGATTGTTTCTACTATCCTGGCATTTCAGGGCCTCCAAAACTATGATAGGTAGTCAGGAAGTGTACTGAGGGAAATAACGCCATTTAAAGGTGGTTATTAACTTTTGGGTGTCTGTAGGTGGCTAGGCTTCCAAAAAGTCTCTCACGTGTGGTATCCCCATACTCGCAAAAAGTAGCAGAATGTGTTTTGGGTGCAATTCCACATATACTCATGGCATGTGTGAGAAATATCTTATTAAAGTGACAACTTTGTGTAACAGAAAAATATTTAATTTTCCAAAAACCTGTGGCAAAAAATAAAGTCTTCCATGCACTCATCATGCCTCTCAGCAAATACCTTGGGATGTCTACTTTCCAAACAGGGGTAATTTGGGGGGTGTTTGAACTGTCCTGGCATTTTATGCCAAACATTAGAAAGTCCTGCCACAAATCATGAAACATGAAAGAGCAGTATTTTTTGCTAGAAAATTACTTTGAACCCCCAAACGTTATATATTTTTAAAGCAAAGGCCCTAGAGAATAAAATGGTGGGTGTTGTAATTTTTTATTTCACATAGTGTTTGCGCAGTGGTTTATAAAACTTAAATGTTTTGGAAAAAATACACATTTTAATTTTAATGCACAAAAACACAATATATTGCTCAATTGTTTGGTAAACTATAAAAGATGATGTTACGCCGAGTATATCAAACATGACATGCTTTAAAAGTTTGCACGCCTGTGCAACGTTGACAAACTACGTTCATTTTTAACATCCATAGGAGACGCTATAAAAGCCTTTACAGGTTACCAGTTTAGATTTACACAGGAGCTCTGGTGCTAGAAGTACTGCCCTTAATCTGAAGTTTGTAGTGATACCTCACATGCATGGTGCAATCACTGTTTAAATTCCGACACAGGACCGATGTTTGCGTACGTTTGGGACATCTATTGTTGTTGGAGGGGATCTATTTTTGAGTGGGTCTATTGTTGCTGGGGGCTCTATTGCTGCTGGGGGGAAGAACTTATGTTGCTGGGAGTTCAATTGTTGCTGGGAGGGATCTACTGTTGAGGGGAGGTCTATTGATGATGGTTGCAGGGGGTTTATTGTTGCTGGGATGGATCTACTGCTGCTAGGGTTGTATTTTGTTGTGCGGGAGGTTCATTGTTGCTGGGGGTCTATTGTTGTAGAATGGATCTATTGTTTCTGGAGGGGGGTCAATTGTTGTGGGGGGATCTATTGCTGCTTGGGGGTCTATTGTTGCTGGCTAAAGGGGATCTATTTTACTACTTTTCTTGTTATCATCAACAAATTCCATACAAATTACTGAGCACCACAAAATGATACTTGGTTCTGTATTTTCTAAAAGGGATGGTACTGGTAGTTGGGTATGGATGAAACCAAGGGACGGTGCTCGGAGGTGGGTAGGGGATGGAATCAAGGAAAAGTGCTTGGAGGTGGGTAGGGGGTGGAGAGAAGGGGTGATTCAGAAAGGGGGAGTTCCTTCACCTATTCTCTGAGAAAAAAATCCCTGCTCTAGGGTATACCTACAGGATATGCAAGGGGCACAAAAAAAGATTAGACTCAAGATGCAGGGGACCCTAGAATAACTAATGCTTCTCCTTTTTTACTATGTACAGTATAACACATTTAGGACTTGTTTACACCTGCTTTACTCTCTGAAGAGCAATCCGCATTTGGAGCATCAAAAAGGTGGTGAAGAGGCATTGTAGCACCACTTCACCGGCACACTTTAACCACCCTAAATACCAGCCACCACGTGCGTTGTGCGCCTTTGCAGGGCAGTTGCAGTCCCACTCACTTTTCAGAGGTTATAATTCCCTGCAGCAGCCATGAAACAAAGCATTTTGGTCATGGCATGTTTCCTCCCTCCTTCCCCGTGGCCAACACAGCAAAAAGGAGGAGGTAAAAAACACAGCTCAACCATGGAGTTTTATCACCCTCCAGTCACAAATGTAGCAGAGCTGTTACAGAATAAATCAGCATTTGTATTTTCTTCATATCCACTATTCCACTCTGTCATCTGCTGTTTAAGTCTCTAGCAGGTTTGAATGCATTTAAATGAGCAGGCTATACAAATATGTATATTTATACTGTGAGGTTTTTGCTGCTCCTGAGCTTTTTCAATCATTGGAACTCACTTCAACTGCTTTGCTGCTTTGTTTGAATTTTAGGTAATTGTAACCTTGATATTGTATTTTTGGTAAGACTAGACTGGTTATTTAATTCCCTTTACAACACATGTAGCTCAGAATTACCATACATATAAAATCACAAAGCAACTGTAATGAACATTTGCCAAGATCAAAGATTCTGTCTACTGAGCACTGTGTTCAAGGAGATTCTAATCCTGTA